TTTACTCATATAATTCTGTTAAAGCAAATTGTATATTAAAATATAGAATTATATCTTGTTTTTTCGTCCGTTAATATATGAAGATTGAGAGCATTCTACCATGCAATCCTTTAAAAACTTTTCGAACTAATTATCTTTAATGAAAATATTTTTGTTAGCTTTATATTTCAAGTAAAGGTATAAAATAAAAGCTTCTTTCTACCGGCGAAATAATCTATTCAAGATAACTATAACGTTTCAATAGCCTAACTCTAGGTTCTGTTATTTCTTAATTTGCTGTCAAAAACATTACTCAGTATTTTATTAAGTTAGCTAATTGAATGCTACTGCTGTTAACAAAACGCTAATTTAAAATAAATTTTCTGCTCCGTCTTTCGAAGGCTAATTTACTTTTCCCTACTTTTGACTCGTCAAGAGAGAACTATATGATTAACAGCAGAATTATCAACGGAGTTTATTTTGTGTGGTGGGAGAACTTCTTACTAATGAGGTTTCGCAAAGAAAATATATTTTATTTCTTCTTCAAATATTCGTTTGAGCTTTCTTTCATTTTTCCCTAGACTGTTTTCATGTAAATTAGTTCAATTTTATTTTCCCTCGCAGAGAAATATCGCTTATTCCTTCTTTTCGTTGCTGATTGGAGTTTAATAAGTTTTGCTTTTTCTACTATAATAAATTTCTGACGAGATGCAGGGCTCTGCTAGCTCATTTATGTAGAACTAGGCTTCCATTAGGAAGATTCTAAGAGCATTTTTCAACAGTTCTAATAATACATTTATTTAAATATAGTAATAATGTTTTAAAATTCATGTGAGTGTTCTCAGAATTAAGTTTCACATAGCTAAACTTGTCAAGAAGTATACTTAATCGAAATGAAAATTTTGATCAAAAATTTAGATGGAATAGGGTACGAAGTTTGAAACTAACTTAAATTTAGAAATTAGAGCGAATAAAATCATTGCAGTACCCGTACATACCATGTTCTTTCAATGAATTATTTCTAGTGACAAGAAAATAAAGTACTACTAAAATTTACTAAAATTTAGTTTTCAAAATGCTATATCGTGTGTTTTTATTTACTTCACACTATGAACACTAAGAAACTTCTATACTAATTTTCACATGTATTTTTAAAAAAGCTTTAACATTTCTAATAATGCGAATTTGTATAATGCAAAGTTAAGTATTATATGAACGTAAGCATCCAGATAGTCCATCTAATTAGTGGCAACTAATTATATTGTATTATTTATACCCAAATCTGCCTCCAAGCGGCCGAGTGGTTGAATTCCTAAACACTGGTAGCTTCGTCTTGAGTTTGGTTCAAGGCGAAAAGACTGCATGAGTATTTCTTGGCTTTCACCATGCATAACGAGAATGCTAACCTCTTTTCCCTGGAAAATGCCTTCACAAAGGCATTCATCTCCTAGGCAGATAGCCCTAGTGTGCTTTTCTGCGTTCAATTAAACCAAACAAAACCGGCCTTCTTGCTTTTTTTGATCTCTTATATTATATCGAATTAACTTTAGGAAAAATGAATTTAGAACGTCTATTCATAATTTATAGCTCTTCTAATTTTAACATATTTTCCCCTAAAGCTTTTTTATTTTTAATAATGTATATTTATGTAAAGCAAAGGTAAGTGTTATATGAGAGTAAGTATTCAGATTGTAGAGGCGTTTTTTTTTTTTTTTTTTTGTTTTTTTTTTGTTTTTTTAAAGCAGGATCTGAGAAAAATCAGCAATGCCCTCATCGGGACTCGGACCGCGGACGCCGAGTGGGCTGACCACTACACCAAGAAGGCATGCTAAGAGGGCGGGAGAAATACTTTATATACCTCCCCTTTTAAGGGCGACTGGGGATTAGGGGACCCAATCGCCAAATCGCGAAATCCTGGTGGTGGAGAATCATCATCTACCACCTTTTTTAGTTCGAAAACCACTGTAGAGACATTAGATTTTTTTTTTTAAACAGGAGATGTGAGAAATAAGGCGGGACTCGAAACTTGGATCTCTCGAATAACCACCGAGTGTGCTGACCATTACACCACATAGGCATGCTAAGAAGACGTGAGAAATACCTTATAAGATGACCCATCTGATCAGGGGCAACTAATTCGACTTCATTATTTATGCACTAAGCAGACCTTTCGCTGTTTCTTCTGATATATTATGTCTCATTCTCTTTTAATGCAGACGAATTTAGAACGTCAATTGATAATTTGTAGGAAATATTTTAAATTCCATCAAAGAGAATATGTGAGATATAAATTCCTGTGTCCATATAAAATATGTTTGTAAAACTGTTTATACGCGAATAGTACCCATGTTATATATAAACCGTAACCTCTGCAATGAGTTTAAATGCTTTGCTTGATATTGATTTTTAACTACTTTACAAATTACACTGTAAACTTTGATAAAGTTATAGTAGATTCGATAAAGTTTAAAGTATCCACTTATTTTACAATTTCACGCTTCGTAATCATCATTTATGTTCACTCTGCTTTATAGATAAAAAAAAATAATAGATGAAGTTTGAAGTCATAAAGTTATTTTTGAACATTTTTGTTCTTAAATAATTAGGCAATTTACCTATGCAAATAATATAAAGTACGACGCACAGTGTTCGTAAGTTTTGTGAATTGTACGTTTTGATCTCAACACTACTCTTCAACTGGTTTTTATTTACCCTTTGTTGCGTACATAATATTGATTTATTAGTTTTAGCAATAATTATGGAGAAGAAAATTATATCTCTAATCCAAACAATGTAAAAAATAAATCAAATTAAAAGTATCATAAAAAGTTTTATTTGATCAATTAATTGTCAAGAACTTAAAATCAGTTATGAATAAAATTATATGATCAATTAAATTATTATTTGATTTAAGAATGAAAAATATTTGCGAAATACTTGTGTTGCCTGTTTTTCTCATATCTTACTCATACCTTTCTTACCTTCTTTGAAACGTATTTGCGTATATGTCTGAATGTTAAGACTATGTATTTAGGCCTAATCAATGACAATATTTTTTAATTATAGCCAGTTATAAAATATGAGAAAACGTTTAAAATGGCTTACAATACGAATGGTTTTGCTTACAATGTAAATTGTAGCCCAAACAATTCGGATTACAATTACATTACAAACTGAATTATAATGTAAATCGTTAGAGTGTTATAATATATATATATATATTCTTTTCAAATTTCATAGGTATTTCCTACTTCCGTCCTGCATGCCTTCGTGGTATACCGGTAGCACACTCGTTGCGTATTCGAGAGGTCTAATTAAATAACCCTAATGTCTCTACAAACGAGTGGTGCTTTTTCATGCATTTACGCTTAAGGTTTGTTGGAACCCTCAAATCTTCAAAAAATTGTGATTGCAGATTTTTGCGTTTTCAAATTCCTTACACTTTTATCTTTCTAAAAATACAATTCTTACTCTATGAAATCTCTATGAAAATTAGAACCGTAAAAATTCTAGTTTGAATTTGTCGTCGACTGCTTTGATCAATGAGGATTTTTACCTAAAAACGCGTTTTTCTCCAATTGTGATTTTTTTTATACTCGATGTACCTTTTCTTAGGAACTACTGCTCACAGGTATCTAAAATTTTTATGGCTTATTTATTAAGTTTCCTAATGTTTACTGAAATGAGGTTTTTGTTATAAATTAAGAAAAAAGTATAAAAATTTTTTTGTGTGGGAAAAGTGCTAAATCTTACTGTGCCTAACAAAATATTCTGTGAATTACTCTAAAATTCAAAATGTTTCAAAAGCTCATTTCAGTATAATCAGATAAGTATACTTTAATTACACAAAAAATTTCAAGCCTGTATCTACAGCAGATTTTGAGAAAAGGTGTATCGAAATGGTCAGTTTAACATTGCCGGTATAGGGATTGCTGATGCCCCTTAAGTTGAATTTCCCGTAAAATTTTAACACGTGGCTTTGGGCGTCCTCTCTTTTACTGAAGGATGTATTTCTTTATGAATCTTGCACTTTTCACGTTTAAATGAAAACGAAATAAATTCAATATTTTAACTTTATTTGAAACCTAAGAGGGTATTTTGTTGAAACCTAAGAGGGTATTTTGTTGAAACCTAAGAGGGTATCAGGGTCACCTTTATTTGAAAGATGAAACTTGTCACATTTGTTCAAGATACATGCACTACAGTCAGTCGAATCTTCAAGAAAATACATCGTACAGTGATAATTCAAAAACATTTTTGACCGTGATAAATTTACAATCAGTTCTAATTAACTGTCAAACTAAATTTTGAATTTCATAGATTATCTGTATAAATAATCATTTTTCATCTAATTTTGAAAAGAAAATGATTATTTAACGATTACGATCATTAAAATTAAGATAATAGGAGAGATGATATTCAAGTTAGATGACGAACGGAAAATTAGTGTGCGTCTGATTAGTGGTAGAGAATTATAATCAGCGGAAGATAATCTGGGTGGAATGCTTAACCTGGTTATTCTAGTTCATTTTATATACAAGAAAACTAATTTTTCACAAGAATCGTTTTTGTTAAATGCAAGCGATGTACCTCTAATGGCTGATCTAAGTTCGAGGGCTTTTTGACATTAGTTGAAGAAATGTAAAGTATTTTGAAAGAAGTACATGCCGGTCAATTTATAAGGGATTTTCACCCTCCTTTCACTATACCTTTGTGGTGTAATTGTAAGCATGAACAAGTTACATGACCGCAACATTAAACTTGAAATGACTTATAACCATTTTGAAACCGAAAATTTTCAGTATGAAAATGGTTTCAGTTCTTTTCCTTGTTGTAGTGCACTTCGGCTTCTTCTGTTAATGACATAAGCAGGCTTTAAGCGAACTATATCATCGATTATTTAAGCAAATAATGTATACGTATTATAAAAGACGATTAGATGCCTTACTGAGCTACCTGAAACACGTGTGCATATTGTAAAGTTTTAATATTATATTAAAATGTTTGCTCTTCCTTTGCAGGTTTCATGGGTCCGACAGAAGGATCTACACATACTAACGGTAGGAAAATATACCTATACGACTGACCAGCGCTACACATCCATCCATAGGGATGACAGCGATGACTGGACCCTAGAAATCAAGTATACACAAAAGAAAGATGCAGGAATATACGAGTGTCAAATAAGTACAGAACCAAAACTGAGCTTGGCAATACAGCTTAATGTCGTTAGTAAGTAAAAAATTTCATAATTAGTTCGCTTTTCATTTTGTTTTAATTACGAGTGCCATGTGCAGATACACAGGAACACATATTTGTATACTTTATTTACGCATGCAAGAATAATCAACGTGCGGCGGACCACACAGAGATAAGTAAATCGCGTGTGCGGTCACTCCAGTTCACTGTTCCCAGCCTTTACGATGTGTCACACGACATGCTTTTGACATCGCAGAGACATAACTTCATGCCTAGTGTCAGGAGATTTTAACGTTCTGCGCTGCTCTGTCATCAAAGCCTCTCGATTTCAGGAGGGGTGACGAACCAATGATCTGATTTTTCCTCTGATAGTGTTCCAGATATAACAAATCAGAGGATGTAAAATTAGGACGGCTTGGCTAATTCAGTCTGAAGATTTTCGCCATCGGGGTAACATCAGGAGAACGCTACAGAACTGTCGGCTAGAGAGACCTACAGTGCTTATAAGCTCCTGACTAGCAAGAACTTCGTTAGTAGACACCTCACACTACGACGACTATAATTATTTTTTAATACCTAACTATGCTATCTATAAATTATGTATTATATATATATATATGTGTGTGTGTGTGTGTGTGTATGTAAAGAGTTACCCAATCATTACAAGGGGTCAGATACGCGACCTGCAGCCACTCAATACAAGGTACCTGAGAGTTACTCCCAATAGTAGTGACCAAAAATAACCCTCTAAATTAATCAATCTAAAATGATCTTTTGAGACCTGTATTATTTTATAAAAAAATATATTTATAAAAATATATTTTAAATTTATATTTTAAAAAATTATATATTTATAAAAACTGGGATTGTAATGCAAATTTAGGAAGATGGTTCCTCACTATTTTTCACATTCAGAAAATGATTGACTGTAACATACGCTAGTTCGGCGAGCGTTAAACTGGGCAAATGCATATAGTCCTTTCCGTTTTTGTTGATTTTTAGCATTCAATATTTTTTACTGTATTTATTCTATTACACGTGTTGCACCTTTTATTTTGACTGCATTTCATTTATGGTTTCCTTTTAGAGAAATTATTCCAAATCCGGAATTTGTCATAGAGTTAGGGAAGAGCATAGGTCGTATATTATCATACAACTAGCAATTTATCAATTTCCTCTTCTCTTTTAGGAGTACGTGTATATGTACAAAGTACCTCATTAATTTGAACACATTTAAAAAAATCGTATAGAATCAGCAATCTTTACACAAAGACGCATCCTTTCTTTATGTGTATGTTGTGACTTATCTGACTTTCCTGACAGTACTATCAGAACAAGCTCACGAAATTCAACGTGGCAAGGGGAGCAAGATTGCGCCTGTCATAGGTAACAGTATGAATTACCTTGGTTCCGTCCCGAATTCGATGGGGGGATGATGGATCCGAGGGTATCGCAGGTAAATAAAAAAAACCGATGTTAATATTAATGAAAACATCAAACAATTTTTAGCAATATTTTTAATGATTTTTTTCGTTTCGGGACTTGATTCGATTGCTTACTTGAAAATAGTAAAGAAGCTTTCCTATTCGAAACTGAGAACCACTTCCAATCAATCTAGTGTCTTCGTCGCTGAGGTTTATGAGTTTCTGTTGGTTCCAAGAGATTGTCCCAGCGAACCATCTCAAAATACGTCTCTACTTTGAAATTAAATTTGGTAAGCAAAAATTGTCTTATTTTCTCCTCCCAACCAGTTCTCCTTGCTTTCAGGATTATTATCAGGCCATGTTCATAAATATGTGCTCTTTCAATCTTCCAGCATTACTAGTAGAATGCTTCTAGAATGAGCAAAATAACAGTTCCTAGGAATAACTTCATGAACGATTGCTTTAAAATTTTCTGTCGAAAATAAATTTTTCTTGGTCATTCCGTGTACATGACGTGCACCATACCATATGTTGCTCACAGGATTTTCTTTATTTCAAACCAGGATGGCACATAAAATTTTATAACATATCTTGAGCCGATCGATATACTTGAGGGTTTTGTAATCAATTTAACGTAGGATGAAATTGCCTAAAATAGCATTGCATTTAAAATACAAGTGGGGAAGGTCATTTCTTTAGTCATGTATGCAAATCAAGCGATAGTTACATGCGTATGGGATGGTGTGGTGGTGGTGGTGTATTTAATTATGGCAAAGCACACTAGGGCTATCTGCCTAAAGGGAGGGATGCCTCGTGGAGGACTTTCTAAGGGAAACTGGCTCGTATACACGTTACACATGGGGAAAACCACAAAAACGCCCGGGATTTGAACCTCGGATCGAACTACCAGTGTTCAGCGACTTTACCGCTCGCCCGCTATAACATTCGTATGGGAAAACGTGCTTTCGTGAAGAACTTCTTAAGCAAAAAAGCTCACGTGCTTGTTACACGAAAATTATAAATATAAATGCAGCCAGGCCATTCTTATCAGTATTCAATCCTGAACCCAGCTGCCAGTGTTTAGATGTATTATGTACTGTTAAAAATTGCCATGGATATAATAAAACAGTTAAAATATCTATACCTGCATTTCCTTTTCTATGATTGTAGTTTGCTTTGAAAATTTCTGCATTTACGATAATAAATCTTCAATATAAGTAAGTATTTCTTATATTCATAATGTTATAAAGATAGAAACCATACATAGCGCGACAAATGATTAAACACACATTAGAATGTGAAGATAACAGCAGCTTGTAAGGTGAAGTAGATCGTAGAATGTCTGGAGAGTATAACGCTACCAATGTGTAAATAGTTTTAATAAATGTACATGTGAATAATTTCAGCAAATTTTATGTAAATTGTAGTACCTCTTGTATAAAGCAGCATGAAAATCCTCAAAAAGTGAAGCATGACTGGAAAAATCGGGTGATAAGTCCATTGAACACTGAGTTAATACTGGCGAGGTAGCACTAAAGTAATTGTGACTTTGCCGACTGTCGTGGTCTTAAATTTCCCAAAGTCCATTTAATACTGAGTTAACACTGGCGAGATGGCACTAAGGTAATGGTGACTTTGCTGAATGTCGTGGCTCTAAATTTCCAAAAGTAGACAAACTTGGCGATCGTCTGGTAGCATTTTGGATCGATCCCTGTGTTGCAACTGGTCCGATCTCTATGTAAATGCATTTGGACATATGCAACTCTAATTGTGTATGCCTTCCAGCAATTTCGAGAAATCGAAGTTACTGTAAATTTATCTGGTGGATGGGACAAAGCCATATAAGGCTTGAGAGAGCATACGTTTTCAGCTTGGCTCAGAGTATTGAAAGTTGAGAACAGCGCGCAGTCTTTCGCTTTTTGATGTGCTTTGTACTGTCTTAAGTTCAACTTTCTTAGCAGTTTGAAGTGGCTGCTGGTTGTGCTTTGTCATACTGAGAAGAGCAGTACAACTCTACATTCGTGTAAAAATTCCGGAACTGTGTAGTTAATTTTTTTCTTAATAAATTCCATCAAGCTTTCATCGGTTCTATGTGAATTCAATCCATTACGAACCCGTATGCACGTAACATTATTAATGTAATGTATTTCCTTGCGTACCTTCTCCCTTTGTTTGCTAATTTTGTGGTCCAAAAGTTGAGAAAGGAAAATTACGGAATAATTTAGTTTATCAACAACGATACTACAGTAAACATATGAAACAACATATGAAAACATAACATATGAAAAGTAGTTATAGATAAACTACAGGTAACTATCACAATATTATTTGTTTAAAAGAGACCCTAATTCTAATAAGAAGATGTAGTAATATTAGCATTACAGTATCTAATAACTTAGCTTCGTTTCTACTTCCCTGAAACTTGAAACTCGGCCATTTATATTATTGTTTCTGGTACACCTTAGACCTCAAATCATTCATAAATAATTATCAAAGGTCAAAGTCCATGTTCTTTAATGGTTCGGTTCTTGTATTAGACTGGCATAAAGATAAAAAATTTATAAAAAAAGGAGGTTCAGCACGACCTTCACAGGTAGTTTACTAGAGTATTTCTCTTTTAATACGATGAAAACAATTACTAAGTGAACGAATTAGTTTTAATATTTAGGTGAGCTCGTTCTCGGAAGGCATCTGAGGAAGGACAAAATTATGCGAGTAATTTGTTAAATGTTTAGAACCTGACACTAAGACGTAGGCAGAAAAATACGCGATTAAATACGCTATATAATAGTTTTTATGTACATAGTAACGTTATTAAAAGGTGTATTTCAACCGTATTCATCGCTGTATGGATAGCTCAAAATCGAAATTTGAAGACCATGAAAACGTATTTTAAATTCTGTCCAGTTCCATATGGATAGAAAATTGGAATTTTCATTTAGATGCAATTATTTTTTTCTCTAATTCTTTAATAATAAACAAAGATTTAGTTCATATTGCTTGTTAAGCGTTTTAGCAGTTTCTTAGCCGGTTTTATGTGAAGTATTTATCAATTTGGATATTTCAATTTGGGATTTGAAGCAAAGTAGTTTTATTTGATTCTTTTAAAGACGTTTTACCATTATTGCAAAGTTATAAGGTATTGTTTCCCTTCTTCCTGCATGCCTTCCTGGTATAATGGTAGCACACTCGGCGCTTATTCGAGAGGTCCAGGTTCGAGTCCCGGCGAGGAATTTGCTCATTTTTCACGCATCTAGCATAAAAACCCTAATGATTCTACAGTGTAAAATTAAAAGCTCTTTACTTTTACACAAGTTCGTCTAAGTCATGCTTTGAGTTACGAAATATTTCTTTACTTGAACTGTGCAAATTATATTAATGAAATATATTTATTTTTCGTTATAACTCAAATCGATCGAATCCATAGAATTTTAGCTAATGTGTAATGTACAGTATACTGTGGACTTTAATATTAAATAATTAAATGCAATTAGAAAGAATTTATTATTTCCTCTACGACAAGATTTAATAACTTTATTTGTTTTAAAAGTTAAAACCTTATCAGTCGAAATCTAAATATATCGCAAAAGCAACAAAAGCCTTTTTTGTTTTGTTTT